TAATAACTAATAACAACCAATTTTTTTTCTAAATAATTTATAATTTTTCTATAAAAAGTTTTTATAATACAATAAGAAAAAATTCAAATTTAATAATAATAATTTTAAATTAATTTTAAAAATAAGAATGAAAATGGAATATTTTACAAAATATGATTTCAAAATAATCATAAAATATCATTGTTTTTTAACTAAGAAGGATCTTAATATTCATATAAAATATAGTAATATAATTATATTAACACTAAAATGAATATTAAAAATTATTAATTAAAAATAACAGTAAGGACTTATAGAGAACATTATGACCCACAAATTGAGAACCATTGATTTAAATAACATATAAAAAAATTTCTTCTCTTTTGCTTTTTAAATTTCAAAAAATTTAAAATAAAAAATAATCATTTTCCCAAAAAGAAAAAAAAATGAAGTTATAAAAAAGTTATCTTCTCTCTGATTTCGGTAATTTTTAAATGTAGAATACAAAATTCTTTTTATACTTGAATACATATAGTTAACGATCAATCAATCAAATTTCGATATATTTGAAAAAAAAGATTATTATATTACTATTTATAAAATTTCATCAATATATCTATAATAGCATATGCATAAAAAAATATTATTTATTTTTTAGTAATGACATTTTCTTTCTTTCATTTTTTAATATGATATAATGTATTTGTCATTAACCCGTTTCTTTTTTTCAAAAGACGATAATTTTAAAAATATTCTGTTACAAAATTCTAATAAAACCCAAATCTAATATTTAGCTTGTATATGAATATATATAATTTAATCGCATCGAAGAATTGCATAGATAAGTATAATGCATAGATAAATCTGTAAATATAAACAATATAAAAAAATATATAATATATAAATAAAAATAAATATAAATAAATTCGTATGTCCTATTTGATCTTGTTTTTGAATCTTGTTTTATAGTGAATTTTAGAATAATTTTATCGAAAAATAGAACTAATAGAAAACTCAATATCAAATAATTTTTGTATAAAATGCAATTTGACAATAAAAAAAATTGAATAAAAAAAACTTTCAAAAAATATGAATATTTTTGGAACTCCAGAGAAACGAAATGGATAAGATCCATTAATCAATTAATCAATTAAATATTTTGAAATTTGTATTCGAGTATAAGAAAATTGTTTTGAATACCTCTTAAAGTAAATAGATACAGTATTAAATAAGAAATTCATAAAATCGATATATATATTGCACATACAATAAAATTAATATAATTTTAAAAGAAGTGCAATCAAAATTGATATAAGTCAGAATTTTTTTCAATCATAATTGTCTTAACATTATTTCGATTCTTTAAAATTATTTTACTTAGAACCGATATATAATAATTTGAAAAAGTTATTTCAGAAAACGTTTCAATCTCTGTTAAAAATAAACATAGGATAAAAATACTTTGTAGCTGAAAATATAATAATAATTGCAATAAAATATAATATATAACTGCAAAAGATTGAATTGAAAGTTATAATGTTTATTCATAATATAATAAAATAAGTTATTCATAATATATAATATTATATAATATATTTTCTTCGTCATTTTGCAGATGATCAGCTATACTAAAACAATTATAATATCGCTAATATTTTATGTGGAACATCTATAGAAGTTAGTCATTATTACTATTATCGTCATTACATCGTCATTATCGACGGTGATACTTGATACTGTATATACTGTTATACTGTATAATACTGTTGTCTTATAAAGACATTACTGTTGTATTATAATTGTATTAGTTTAGTTGTATGTTTGTATTAACAGAATTCTATATTATATCAAAAATTTTTTATTAATATTTTGATAATTAATAAAAATTCAAAGTTAAAATTTTAGATTTAGAATCTACTTCTTTTTCTTTCCATTTTTCTAAATGCTAATGTAAATATGTTTTTTAAAAGAATAATTCGATAAAATTTGTTAATATCAAGCATATTTTTTAAAAAGATTTTTTTCTGATTTTTTAATACTTAAATGTTTTAATCTATATTACCAATATACATACCATTTTACATTACTATAATTCATAATTAATATAGTTCATATTAATTATATAAAATATGAATATCAAGAAAATCAATATAAAGAAGATTGTAATATCTATTCTTTATTGACTATATTGTATATCAGGGTTAGTATTCATAAAAAATAGTTTACTAAAATTCAAATTCAATTTTTTTTTGATGCATTATATTCTAAAATAATAATTATTAATTATCAATATGTTATCGATATCAAGGATATTTTATTGAGAATTTTTTTATTGATATATTGATAATATTATTAAGATGATTATTTACGAATAAAAATGACTAGTTTTTATTTTTTTTTATTCGAAATTATTAAATTAAGATACATCAAATTAAGATATTGTTAAAAGCATTATTTGTAATTATTTAACATTAAAATGAATGAATTTAAATAAAATGAATTTTATTGAAGAACTATGATGGTCACTTCAATTACTTCTATTTATGCTATTAATATTTAACTATTTTGAATATTTTGAACATCTCAAATATTTGATTATTAATCCATAGGTAATCATTAACAACATCTTATAACTTTAAATAAGAAAAATTTGTAATTCTATTTATATTGAATTATTATATCGATATCTTAAGAACATAATATATTGAATTATTGATATTTATCATAATGATATCAATTATCATAAATCTATTATTCTTTTCATTATGAAGATAAAAATTCTCAAAAACCATAAATCAAATTTTAACTGTTTTTTTAAAAATCAAAGTTTTAATAATTTTTAAATTGACTTTATTTGCAATATATTAATATTTAAATGAAAACAGCAAATACAATAAATCATATTGACCATTTATTATTTTTATATATTTATATATTATTTTTATATTATTTTAATTAGAATTAGTTAAGCGAAGTTTTTCGTTATAATCTTTCGATTACAATATGCACGAGCTACGAGATGCATATTTCTTATTCATTATTCTCTCTCTAGAGAGAATGAGATGCTAATATGAGATTGATAGTTTAATCATTTTCTACGTTTCGAAATTTTAATCAATCTATTCCTAATATTGAGTGGTGAGTATTAAAAATAAAAAAAAACATGATGGTAGTATACAAAAATATTTGATTAATCTTACGAACTATTGACAATACAAAAGAAACTTATAAATTAGTCA